ACGTGGATGTAGCTTATCCAAATCTTGGATAAGTGAACCACGGTAAATCGTGTTCTTCTTGGTTGATTGCTTTGTGTTTGTTGTGATTGTTCATAATTTTAGTTTGTTAAGTTGAATTTGGTAATTGGTTTGAATCTTTGTAGTGGTATCAGAGCTAGAAATCTGCGGTGCATCGATCTCTAGGTCTGTTCTTGAATTGAGAGTTCGTCGAATTTTTTGGGGCTTTCACGATCCGTAAGTTCTTTAGAGTTCAAGGGTTCTTAAATCTAAGATTCGAGTTATCAATTTTGTGATTTGGTATTTTTTCTTGAAATCTAAGGTTTATCGAATTTGGGGGTTTTCTTGATCAGTCAATTCTTTTAGGTCCTAGATAGATTAGAGTCCATAATCAGGGTTCAATTGTGACAAATTAATTAGTTTTGAGTTCTAGGGTTTCTTCGATTGGGACTCTTTTTGATATCAGTATCAAGAAACTTGGTATGACTACAACACGCATGGAGATCACCCAGTATGATGGGAAGATCGATTCAACAGTCAGAAGAAGAAGATGAAGGTGCTACTATCACACAACATGGTTGCCATTGCAATGGAAAAGGATGCAATGAAGTGGCCAGAAGAAAAATTAAAGAAAAAAGCTGAAGTTGATGAAGAGGCATACAACCTCATCATAATGAATCTCTCGGACAAAGTCTTGAGGAAGGTAGATGGCATGGAGACTCTACTGACTTTATGGGGTAAACTCGATTCACTATACTTTTTACAATCTGATCCAAATTTAGCTTTCTTAAAGGGTGCTTTATTTGTTTATAAAATGGATAGCTCTAAGTCTATAGAAGCTAATTTGGATGAATTCTTGAAAATGACTTTAATTTTAAAGGGAACATATCAAGAATTAGGAGATACAAGCTTAGCCATGATACTCCTTAATTCTTTATTAGAAGAGTACCAAGTTGTTAAAAATGCTTTACAATATACGGGTACCATACCTAGTCTTGATTTAATCATTGCTGGATTAAAAGCTAAGGAGTTAGAATTAAAAATTCTAAAAAGGAGTGGGAATAACTTGTTTGTAAATGGTAGAGTAGAATCTGGCCAGTCAGGAAACAATACACAACGTGTCACTGGTTCAAAGAATAAGAAGAAAGGGAAAGGATCTGTCAAGAGTAAAGGGGAAATTAGGAAGTGTTTTTATTGCAATAAAACTGGACGTTTGAAAAGAATTGTTTTGAGTGGATTAAAAAACATAAACAATCAAACACTGAAAGTAATGTAGCTTCCACTCGTGACAATATCAGTGAATCTGAAATCCTCACAGTGTCTAGATCAGACTAGGTTCAGGAGTGGGTTCTTGACTCAGGGTGCTCTTTTCACATGAGTCTAAATAGAGAGTAGTTTCAAGATTTTGAAAATGATGAACATGAAATAGTGTCTATGGGCAATAACAATGCATGCAGAGTCCGAGGAACAAGGAGTGTAACCTTAAGATTGAATAATGGGAAATTTATAATGTTGACTAAGATTAGATACATCCCTAATCTAAAAAGAAACTTAATCTCTCTAGGAACACTAGATGAATTAGGATGTTGTTATAAAGCAATAAATGGATGCCTTAAGCCTTAAGGTGTATAGAGATAATAGCATAGTGCTAAAGGGTTTAAAAAAGAATGGGCTATATATTATGTATGGGAACCACTATTCTGATAAATCCAATACTACTCTTGTTTCTTCTAATTCTAATGTGACAGAAAAATGGCATTTAAGAATGGGGCATGTGAGCCAAAAGGGGATGACCATCCTCTCACAATAGGGACTATTTGGTAAGGACATTTGGTAAGGACATTATCTCTCCTCTTGATTTATGTGAAACTTGTGTGTTGGGTAAGCAATATCGTATGAGTTTCTCAAAAGGTATACATCTTGCCACTCATTGTTTAGATTATCTGCATGCTAATTTGTGGGGTCCAGATCAAGTTAAGTCTCATAGGGGGAATAGATATTTTCTCTCAATTGTAGATGACTTTAGTAGGAAGGTTTAGGTTTACCTACTTAGGTCTAAAGATGAGGCTTTACTTAGGTTCAAAAACTGGAAACTATTAGTGAAAAATCAGGCTGATAGGAAGGTTAAGGCCCTTAGGACTGATAATGGTTTGGAATTCAGTAACGTAGAATTCAAAAATTCTGTAGGGAATAGGGGATCCTTAGACATAAGACAGTTGGAAAAACTCCTCAGCAAAATGGTGTTGTTGAGAGGATGAATAAAACCTTGCTTGAAAAAGTTAGATGCCTCCTGTTTACTTCAGGTTTACTAAAAACATTTTAGGGAGAAGCTTTGACCATATCTGCATACTTAGTGAATATAGAAGCCCTTCCACTGCCATAGAGTATATGTCGCCGGAAGAAAAATGGTCAAGAAGAAAGTCTAGCCTAAACCATTTGAGAGTTTTTGGGTGTACTGCATATGCACACATGAGTGAAGGGAAATTAGAGCCTAGGTCCTTAAATTGTGTATTCTTAGGATACCAAGAGGGGACTAAGGGCTATAGACTATGGAATATGGATTCACCAGGGGTAAAAATCATAATTAGCAAGGATGTTATGTTTAATGAAACTATTTTCCCTTGTAAATTCACTAACCGAAATGCAGGTATCCTTAATGACAATGAAATAAGTCCTGGTCGAACTGGAGTTACACCAATTGAGGTGGAGCATACTCCACAGCAGTTTGATACTCCTCGGCATGACCAAGAAACTGAACTTGAAGTTAATACAACCTCTAATGACCCTGTCCAAACTGTAGAGGCTGAAGAACCACTTCATGATAACCTAACACAGTGCCAATTGGCAAAGGGACAAAACTAGAAGAGAGATCAGAGCCCCTGCCAAATACTCCGATGCAGACCTGATCTACACTACCCTAGTGGTAGGGACTAAAGTTCAGAGGTTTGAACCAGATACTTATGAGGCTGCTATGAGATGAGACCCAAGGACAAAGATAAATGGGTGATTGCAATGGAGGAAGAAATACAGTCACTAAAGGTAAATGAGACATGGTCTTTGGTCCCTAAACCTAAAGCGTATAAACCTGTGGAATGCAGATGGTTGTACAAGCTCAAAGAAGGTGACATAGATACAAGAAAATCAACCACATTCTATTGTTTCACCTTGGGTGGGAATCGCATCAGTTGGAAGTCTCAACTGCAGCCCCTTGTTGCATTGTCTACAACAGAGGAATACGTAGCTATAACTGATACCTTCAAAGAAGCATTGTGGCTTCAAGGAATTTTGAAGGAAGCCAATTTGGTGGACAGTATGGTGATAGTGTATTCAGACAACCAAAGTGCTCTACATCTAAGTAAAAACCCAGTTTACCATGAGAGGACCAAGCATGTGGATGTAAGATACCACTTTGTGAGGGATCTAATTGCCAAGGAAGTGATTAACATAAGGAAGATTCCAACTGAAGGCAATCCTACGGATATGGGCACAAAAATAGTCACTGTTACCAAATTCAAGTTGCTTGGATTTGTTGTTCATCGGCTAAGCATTAAGGAGTAGAACTAAGAAGCAATTGATGATGAGTTCTCTGCATAAGTGGGAGTTGGTGTGTTGCTGCTAGAAAGTCTGACTTCAAGGTAGAGATTGTTGAAGGTGAAGTTAGAAACGGCGTTGTACCATTTATCTTATACGTTGCCCTTTTTTAACTTACGCTTTTCTAACCGTTGGATTGCTTGAACTAATCTGATGGCTGTCTTGATGCCACTTGGACAACAGTATAAAAGTCTCCCTTCTCTCGTCTGAAGTATAACAAAAACTGTAGCTCATTCAACATCTTTCTCTCTCTGTTGTATCACATAAGAGCCTGCATTTTTTTCTTGTCTTGCTTTGCTGCAAATTATGTCATTACAGTAAGTGTTTTTCAATCACTTTGTGAGGGTTGAGTTTACTCTTGGGTGCAAGGGTTTCCAGGTAGAGTTCCCTTGGGGCAGATTTGTAGGTGTAAAGAAGAAAGCATTAAATGGGAAGAGAGTGAGGTTAGTAGACTAAGGGTGATTGTAATCTGTAACAAAGGTTCTAATTAGTGCAAAGAGCTCCTCAATTGTGGAGTTCAACGTGGATGTAGCTTATCCAAATCTTGGATAAGTGAACCACGGTAAATCGTGTTCTTCTTGGTTGATTGCTTTGTGTGTGTTGTGATTGTTCTTAATTTTAGTTTTTTAAGTTGAATTTGGTAATTGGTTTGAATCTTTACAGCGATGAATTAAATTGTCCAAGACACGTTTATGGATATGAGAGTAGGATATGAGAGGAGAAGGGTGAAGAACTCCTAATGTACCTATAAGGTTGCGGCGGAGGGTACGCCAAGTTGTGCTACAGGGGAAGACGCTTATGCCTTTACGTTTGTTTGGAAAAATTTGATCGGCGAATGCGGTTTTTGGGTGGTCTGCAAAGACTACAGAACAAGTGTGGTAAGTGAGAGTGTTGTTGGTGATGAAAATTGTGGGTTTGGAGCCCATTTTTATGGTGATGATGGGACCATACCTTTTGCGAAGACTGGAGACAATTTTTCCTAGTCCGAAGAAAGGTTTTCGATTCCACAGAAGTTGGCAATAAGGTGAGGTGTTGAAGGTCCTGCTGAGAGCTTTTTGGCGTGGATGGTGAAGCTGATTAGTAAACAAATGCAGAAGGAGATGACGATACTAATACCAGTCTGCATATTCATCGGAGAAGAATTAAGCTTCAAAGAACAATGCCTCAGTATGTTTCCGGGGTACAAAGAGTATATTAATTTGACATTAATGTTCAATTAATTTACAATAATTCATTCTAATGATATATGTTTGCTTCTTAATTAACCTCATTGACATATATATAAGATAACTTTGAAATTGAAACTAATAAAAAGTGGAGAGTAGAACGACTATGTTTCTCTCTTCATTTATTCAGAGTTTATTCTTTAAATCATGGTAAGTAAAGCTTCTAAATCTTGAAGTAAGTATTCTTTAAACATTATATAAAGCCCTGATACCTTGAATGTCATCGCCATGCAAGTTCCCATTTGTCACTCCAGGGGGAATAGTAGGGAACATGATAGCTCCCTCAACTGAGCTCTGTCCCAGTCCAAAAAGATGCCCAATTTCATGCAATGCGACACTCTCCAAGTCGATTGCACCTTCTACTGCACCCACATACCATGTCTCGTTCGTATCGTAATGGGACCTCCAATTGTCTGGGGCAAAAGCATGAGCCAGGACTCCACCATGCCCATCAAAAGGACTGCCATCTCCATGATATCCATGGGGGAAACCAATTCTGAGATCTGCGTGTCCAATGCCCTGAGTCACTGAGAATGTGAAATGAGTGTTTCCAGCCCATGTTGTGAAAGCTTTAGCAACAGGGTTCATGGCATCCACAGGGGTCCCTGCGAGGAATGCATATGTGAGATGGTACTTGTTTGCTAGCCAATTAGGGTTTTCAGGTAAAAAATTATAGTGAGCGACAGTATGGAAATGGCCAGAGGCATTTTGCCTTTTGTGGCCAGATCGCATCCGAGTTTTACCATTGACAATATCTTCCATTCCACATCGAGGCATTATCATTTTGGATATAGTTTTGGGATCCAAAACTCCAGTTTTCTTCAGATGGTAATTAAGCTGGTAGGTTTTGATAGCTGATTCTAATAGCTCCTCAAAATCATCATCATTCGCATGCTTTTGATTTGTATAAGAGCTATAGTTCAAGTAACCAAACTTTTCAAGGTATTTTTTGAGCTCATTGATGCCTTTAACATTGTCGCCTTTATGACAACCTTGGAGATGATTGATGAACTCAAATGGTGATTGATTTTTGTCATTGGTGTTGTCTGCTAAAACTGAATATTGAGAGAGGAGAAAAAGGAGAATTACAAATGAGAAGAAGGGAAAAGCTTTAGATGCCATTACTAAAATCAATTAACTTTGGTAGAGAATGTTAATTGGCTGTGCTTGTATCTCACATTTTGATCTCCATATACAGAGTTCTTATAAGATCATTCGTCTCCCCAAGTTGAGTGAGTCGGTCCACAGACTGTAGTATGATTTTTACTATTTAATGATATTAATTTTTATGTGAACAAGTTATCATAAAATTTACATTAATTCAAAATCAATATTTTTGTAGAACAGGTTTCCTATATATTATCAAGAGAAGACCTCTAGCCAGTAGGAATAGTTAATTTTATATTTCATTATCATTAGATTTCTTACTTGTAGATTTGATTTTACATTATTGGGGAAGAGAAATGTTATTCTCTGGTGTAATCCTCCTTAAATATTAATGGTATTACAATCAATGATTTTGACATTGAACAACCATATGTGTAATCAATAAAAATGTGTGAGAATGGCAAAAGTAAACTCTAGGAGGCCAGCATTCATTAGTGATTACTTGCAGACCAAGCAATATCTTTTTCTTTACGTACTCAAGATGCTGACAATTTGTCTCTGGGATTTAATTTAAATGTCAGACATAAAGACAGAATATATATAGTTTTTGGTATGACTGTCTGTCACAGAAATTTAACACAACATGCTTTCATGTCAATGCATTTTCATGCAATCAACTCAGAAAGAAGCAAGAAGTTATAATTTGATATACTCCTTCAACAATGTCAGTTCAATCTTGTATAATTGCAAGTTAATTAATGGAAGTATTCTCCAATCTCAGCGGAGTCTCAGCTGTTTACAGGTTGCTTGTAGTTAGCCAAGATAACAATTTGTATATTTTAACGCCGCAATTGTAAGTTCATATATATGATTCATTAGAAAAGAGAAAAAGAATGTACAAAAGACCTATAAAAGGCGGTTAACCTACCTCAGGACAATCCCCTGGGTTAGAACCCAAAAAAATAGCCTATACAAGACTATGTAAATACACAAAAAAAATCTTCATATCTCAAGACATGCCCCGGGTTAGGAACAAAACCAAAGAGAGCCAGAAGACAATGACCAAATAGGCGACAAAATAATCTCACCTCATTTGGTGGAAATAATAGGGCTCCAAACCTTTACAAGAACTCTGGGACATTATCCATTAAAATGAGCCAAGAATACTAATTAGACCCATTCTCAACTTTCAGTGTCTGCTAGTGGACCTTGCACAAAGCGCACTCCATTTACTTAAGATTTTGGATCATCCCAAAAATTTATATAGGGTGATATGATGAATAATACAAGAATCATGTATTGCTATGTTCTTTAAATTCAGAAAAAAAAAAAAAATTATGCAAGGAATAAAAGAAGGTCAAATTTGATGGGTTCCTGCTTGATGTAGAAATTTATACATAAAAATTTTCAACCATCAACAAGAATTACATTAAAAGGGTTCAGAGCAATATTTATGTAAACAAATAACATAATCAAATCTACCGCGAAGATAGATGAACTCGCAATGGATTTTTCATCTTTATGGTGATGTCTATCTTCTCTGATAAATCAATATCTTCACCATCCACAGCACTCCATTCAAAATGCCAAATCAAATTTGCCACAAAATACTCTAAATGAAGAATAGCAAAACCAAGACCAGGACAAATCCTCCTCCCTGCACCAAATGGCATCATTTTAATCTCTCTACTTCCTGTTATATCAAAACTTTCTTCTCCATGGCTAAACAGAAATCTCTCTGGCTTGAACTCCACAGCATCTTTCCACACATTCGGATCTCTTCCCATGTCCGCTATCAAGAAGTTCACTGTTGTACCTTTGGGTATAAGGTAGCCACCCAATTCGGTATCTTCAGTCACCGCAAGCGGTGTCGCCGCCTGGTAAGTCGGCGGGTGACGTCTTAATCCTTCAAGAACCACTGCTTTCAAATAAGGCAACTTCTGCAAATTATCTTCTTTGATCCATTTTCGTCCTTGTTCAACAACGCCTCTCATTTCAGCCAAAATTTTTTCTTCATTGCAATGCTGTTGTCGTTGTATCAGTTCCAGCACTGATAAATTCATCGCTTAAAGATACTATGTCGCCTTCTTCAAACTTCTTGTTCTCATCTGGAACTTGTAATTCCAATAAGGTATCAACGTATGACACAAACTGATCTATGTTTTCTCCCTTATCTTCACCTTGTTTCATTTTCTCTCTGGCTGTAACCAAGGACAAAAACATATCTTCTCGATCTTTAAGGATATTTACAAACTCATTCCATCGATTTCTAAATAAGATCTTCCCCAAATTTGGCATGATAAGAAACACTTTTACTTTAGGAAAACAGGTAAAAAATTTATTTTGTGAGCATTCAAGCTCCCTAATTGTATTCTCATCAAGATTATCCCCGAAACACATGAGAACTAGCAAAGAAAAAATTGTGTACGTAAAATGATCAACTACATGGATGCCTCCGCCGTGTTCAGAATCCTGTTTAAGGCGATGAATTAAATTGTCCAAGGCACATTTACGGATATGAAAGCAGGATATAAGACGAGAAGGGTGGAGAACTCCTGATGTACCTGTAAGGTTTCGGCGGAGGGAGCGCCAAGTTGCACCATAGGGGAAGAGGCTTACGCCTTTACGTTTGTTTGGAAAGATTCGATCGGCAAATGTGGTTTTTGGGCGGTCTGCGAAGATGGCACCATTTAGAACAAGTGCTTGGTAAGCGAGAGTGTTGTTGGTGATGAAAATGGTGGGTTCGGAGCCAATTTTTATGGTGATGATCGGACCGTACCTTTTGCGAAGATCAGAGACGATTTTTCCAAGCTCAAAGAACGGTTTTCGATGCCATAAGAAGTTGGCAATGAGGTGAAGAGTGGGAGGTCCTGGTGGGAGCTTTCTGGTATTTCTAGTTTTTGAGGAGAAGAGAAGACGAAAAATGAAGCTAATTAGTAAACAAACGCAGAGAGAGATTAGGATAACAATACAAGTCTGCAAATCCATGGGACAATCAAGCATGTAATTAAGGACAATGCCTAAGTATGTTTTGAAACCTGATATATAAAGAGCTTCCGGACGAATGTTCGATTAGCCTCATTGACGTATTCATGTTTAATGTTTTGTTAGTATGTATTTGGTTGCTACGTTAAATACTCTGATTCTTTCGCCGGCTATTGAGGTATCTATGAATATATATAAACAACAAGATGAAAACTTACAGGAATTTTGTATTTCATTAGTCATTATATTGTAATTTTATGTGCTAATTAAAAAGAAATCTCTTTCAACATGAATCATTTTTTTATTTATGTGAGGACCAATCAAGACGTTCTTCTAAATTAAGTGAACACATTTGCAATACCCAAAAAACATAAAATATAAAGCAATGGTGATCATTTACTAGTGTATATGGTCTCCATTCCTGATAATAAAAGTATAACCGACTCTCTTTCCCCCTTCATTTATTCGGTACCAAAACTCTCATTTATTCTTTTCTCACGGTAGGAAATCTTGAAATAACTCTTTAAACATTATATAAAGCCCTGATGCCTTGAATGTCATCTCCATGCAAACCCTTTGTCACTCCAGCAGAAATAGAAGGGAACATGATAGCCCCCTCAACTGAACTATGCCCAAGTCCAAGAAGATGCCCAATTTCATGCAATGCAACCGTCTCCAAGTCGAATGCACCTTGTGTCGCACCCACAGACCATCTCTCATCCGCATCATAATGGAACCTGCCGTCGTCTGGGGCAAAAGCATGAGCTATGACTCCACCCTGCCCATCAAAAGGACTACCATCTCCGTGATTTCCACTGTGGAAACTGATCGTAATATCTGCGTTTCCGATGTCCTGAGTCCGTGAGAATCTGAAGTGAGTGTTTCCAGCCCATGTTGTGAAAGCTTTAGAAACAGGGTTCATGGCATCCGCAGGGGTCCCTGCAAGGAATGCATAGGTGAGATGGTACTTGTTTGCTGGCCACTTAGGGTTTCCGGGGAAAAATTCATAGTGAGCGACATTATGGAAATGGCTAGAGGCATTTTGCCTTTTGTGGCCAGACCGCATCCGAGTATTACCATTGACAACATCTGCCATTCCACATCGAGGCATTGTCATTTTGGATACAGTTTTGGCATCCAAAACTCCAGTTGCCTTCAGATGGTAATTAAGCTGGTAGGTTTTGATAGCTGATTCTAATAGCTCATCAAAATCATCATCATTCGCATGCTTTAGATTCGTGGAAGAGCTATAGTTCAAGTAACCAAACTTTTCAAGGTATTTTTTGAGCTCATTGGTGCCTTTAACTTTGTCGCCTTTATGACAACCTTGGAGATGGTTGATGAACTCAAATGGTGATTGTTTTTTGTCATTGGTGTTGTCTGCTAAAACTGAATGAGAGAGGAGAGAAAGGAGGAGGATTACAAATGAGAAGAGGAGAAAAGCTTTAGACACCATTGCTAAAATCAATTAACTTGGTAGAGAATGTTAATTGGCTGTGCTTGTATCTAACAATTCTTTTTTTCTCTATTTATAGAGTTCTTCTGAGATCAATCATTTCCCAAGTTGAGTGAGACGGTCTATACACGGTAGCATGACTTTTACCATTCAATGTGAACAAGCTATCAAATTAAGGATCACCAATTACTAAATTTAATTTGAACGTTGTTGTATGCAATGTTTACACTATCAACGAAGATGCCTAGCAGACCACAATTACGTTCATATATAACATAGAAGACCTGACTTAATTTGTACCCACAAAATACGAAAAAGAAAGACTTAAACTCTATGACAAAGTCTCCTATTATCAAGAGAAGACCCTCTAACCGGCAGGAGAAGTTGCTCCTCTATTTCATTATCATAAAAATTCTTACATGTAGATTTGATTTCACATTATGAGAATTCGTAGTAAATCTAATCAAACTGAAAGTTTAGCACAGCTTCTAGAAGACATTTGCATGATCGATGGAGAGAAAGATCATTCTCTCTGGTAGACTACATGGTAAAGGTCTAGCTGCTTTGTCGAACTTGCTTTGCTTTTGGAATGATGCTAAGCTAACTACAAAAGAGTAGTAGCCCAGTCTTCATTAATTTGTTCAACGTTAATTTAGTTAACTATAATATTCAGCTGATCAAGCTAGAGATGACTGGTCCAAGTTCAAAGAAAGGTTTTCGATGTCATAAGAAATTTGCAATAAGTTGAAAAGTGTAAGAGATCCTGGTGGGAGCTTTTCGGTATTGCTGGACTTTGAGAAGAGAAGACTGAAAATGAAACTAATTAGTAGACAAATGCAGAGAGAGATGAAGATGATGATACAAGTCGATCTGCATTTCCATGGGAGAATTAATTAAGCTTCTAATGACAAATTAAAGCCATGTTTGTTAATTATCAAATCTATTTAGGAAAAATACAATTTTGGGTCCGCGATATCATCGATCACAAGGGTCACCTTTGGTTAACGTTATGCCCGAAAGAGTGTATATATAGTACTTTGTCTTCAAACAAGAGCATATGTATCTGAGATTCTTATCAGAATTCACAAATTAAGTGTATTTTTGTGAGCATAATATCTACATAATTATGTTATATGGATTATTATATCGCCTCATTTGGAGTAAAAAAGAAAGTTCTTTGAATTAATCAAACATTTCATTGAACCAAGTTGCCGTCAAAATGCTACTGGCTTTGCTTATGGACAACTGAAACAAACAACCTAAAACAAAATCTGAATTCTGAAGGAGCCTCTAGAGCTGTTTCATTATTGACGATTGCAAAATTGAGATACAACTAATTGCTTTATTTCAACCATATAATGCAAAGGGTGCAAATTGCAGTTCTGTAAAACATAAAGGGTCAAATGTAATTCACCAATACGCTGTCGTTTTCAGTTGACCTTCTTTACTTTGAGCTCAAACGAGCTACTGAACTCTTTTACTTTACCAATTCTTTCATGTATTCTCTCCTTTGTATATAAGAGAGATTTTGGTTGTATTTTTCGTTCAATCAACTAAATACAAATTAGATCTTAACATTGTTCTTTCTTCTTTAAATCTTCACACTTTAAAAGGAGAAATTCATATATATACATGGTCGGACAATTGAACTAGTTCATCGTGTGTTTTAACAAGTTTATTTGATCGCAAAATATATAGAAATCAAACTACAATAAAAAGGAAGGAAAAACAAAAACAGAGCTTCTGTGTTTCCTCTGCATTTATTCTGGTACCGTAATCTAAGTTATTCTTTTCACTTAAAAGTGAAGCTCCAGTACTCCTCAAGCATTATATAAAGTCCTTATGCCTTGAATGTCATCAGCATGCAAACCCTTTGTTGTTCCTTGAGTAATGGAAGGGTACATGATAGCCCCCTCAACTGAGCTATGCATAAGTCCAAGAAGATGCCCAATTTCATGCAATGCAACAGTCTCCAAGTGAAATGAGCCTTGGGTTGCAGCCACAGACCATGTCTCATCTGCATCGTAATGGAACCTTCCGTCCGTTGGGGCAAAAGCATGAGCAAGGGTTCCGCCAGGGCCATCAAAGGGGTGACCATCTCTATGATCACCGCTGTGGAAACTAACCGTGATATCCGCATTTCTAGCGTCCTGAGTCTGTGTGAATTTGAAATGTGTATTTCCAGCCCATGTCGTGAAAGCTTTAGCAACAGGGTTCATGGCATCAGCTCGAGTCCCTGGAAGAAAGGCATAGCTGAGATGGTACTTGTTTGCTGGCCACTTAGGGTTTCCGGGGAAAAATGAATAGTGAGCGACAGTATGGAAATGGCTGGAGGCATTGTGGTGTCTTTTGTGGCCAGACCGCATCCGAGTTGCGCCATTAATAATATCTGCTACTCCACATCGAGGCATTGTCATCTTTGAAACAGTTTTGGCATCCAAAACTCCAGTGGCTTTAAGATGATAATTTTTCTGGTAGGTTTTGATGGCAGACTCTAAGAGATCATCAAAATAATCATCATTGGCATGTGTTTGATTTTATAATTCAAGTAACCGAAATTTTCGAGATACTTTTTGAGGTTATGGATGCCTTTAACATTTTCACCTTTGTGACAACCTTTGAGATGGTTGATGAACTGAAATGGAGATTGGATTCTTTTTTCAATGGGGTCTGCTAAAACAGAATTAGCGAAGAGTGAAAGGAGGACTGCAAAGAGGGTGAAAGAGAGGAGGGGAAAAGCTTTAGATGCCATTGCTAATCGATTCACTAATTAACTAGAGAAGCTCTTGTTAATTGCTTGCGCTGTATGACATGTTTAGATGGGTATTTATATATTTCTTACGTGAGAAGAATCCTGATGACGCTAATGGGGACCATATTTTTTTTTTCCTTTAATAACTAGGGTGTCTGGGTTAGCTTGTACATACCTTAATTAATTCTCGAGACCTTGAAGTTAATGGTTGGGTAAACCTCTAGTGGTCACTTCTATTAGCAACCGAGGTGAATCGAACTTAAGACTTTTTGGATAATACTCCAAAAGTTTCTATTCAACCACGCAACCGCCTAAGGGTGGTTAATGGGGACGGTATTGCTTAATGTTTTTGAAAGTTGAGTGTATCGTTGCATGCACTTACTCTGTAGCATGACTAGTACTTTTCTAGGTTTTTGGACCAGAGATTATTGTAAAATGAATCGAAGACTTTGAAGAAACTAAAAGACAATTATATATTAGTGAGTTTATCACAACTTTCCCCCAAAGGTATATGAAATAACAATTTACCCCTTAGGTCACTATTCCAAGGGTAAAATCAAGTCGAGTCGAGTCGAGTCGAGTATCTGATTAATCAAACTCGACTCGAGTGTTACAGTACCAAATTCAAGTTTGAGTTCGAATTCGAGTTTGAGAAATCAAGTTTGAACTCGAATGCGGTACCTAAAATTGGAATTCAAATTCGTATAGTCAAGTTTGATTCGAGTTCCATTATTTGAGTTGAAAATATGAGCTTCAATCAAATTCAAGTATTCAAACCTCAATCGAATTCAAGTATTTGAGCTTTTATTGAGTTCATGTTTTACTATGATAGAACTCGACTCGAACGACTACTCAAACTATTCGAACTTGAACTCGATTCAACTAATGCCGAGTCAAGTTCTAGCCAAAATTGAGCCTCTTACACAGCTCAACTTGATTTTCATTCCTAAATTTCCATTAGTGTTTTCATCATCTGACTGGTACATTTTATATAAAATTAAACAGTAAAACGAAGGGAATACTAAGAGAGGGGGTATATTGTTATTTATGATGCCTATCTTAGGGGGTAAATTATAACTAAGTCTATATTAGTTTCAATAAATAAAGTAAAATGCATGCAAGGAGCAAAAAGCAATCAAAAGACGAAATGATCATATCATTGTCGAAAGGAAGATACGTAGCAGGGCAATATACAGTAAACTCTACTTAAATTCCACAGATATAAACAAGAGGAGGAGACGACGACTCAAATTGCACCCACAAAAGAAGAATCTACTTAAATTCGACAGATGTAAACGAGAGGAGAAGACAACTCAAATCGCACCCACAAAAGAGTCGGTGGAATGAGACCAAATCAAAGGGCCAATAATCAATTCCTAAATTGACAAACAGATGTAAACAGGGCGACTCAAAGTCAGTCCTCTTGCCCGCGACCAAAGTTACTTGAATATTTCATTATCATATGACTTCTTACATTACATTTATATTAATTAGACTTCAATAAGTCTTCCAAGTTGAATAATCGTAACGCTTTGCTAAGTTATTTGCATCGTTTGTTGAGACAATAACGTTCCCTGTATATTGTAATTCATTACGGCAACCAATCAAGTTAATTAATTTTAAAATACAACATAGCTAGCTAATTGAGTTTTATTGCCAAACTATGATTTTCTATTTTTATAATTAAGAAATTCTCTATACTTGTTTTGTAAGTTGGAGTCTGAAACTGGAATGTCCGTTAAACCCTATCATCATTCGAAAACGGTTGAATATGATTTTTTATTTTTCAAGACTTGAACCCCATAGCTTGTGGGATATTTCTAAGGGGACGTTTGGTTGGGGGTTATGTGGGATTACTGAGGTTAAGTCATCTTATATTACTTGATTACTATATCTGGTTTGTCAAGTAATATAAGATTCCGGTAATCTTCAAATATCAATATTGTATTAGTAATATTGGAAGTAATCTGATTACCTCCATTTTCTTAGGTATTGTAAGATTACTTGGATAATCTTTTTTTTTTTTTAATAATTATATCCCTTATTAATAAAATTTTAGGACAATAATACCCTTATTTTAAAATTTATTTACATGAATCTTGCTTTTACCATTTCACCCCATTTAATTAATTTTTTGGACAAAATTAGCTTTGAAATCAAAATAAATTTCAGCTTACCCAAGCCATCACCCCCACCCACCTGCTACCGCTAGCTAAACCATCGCCGACCGTCGCAGGAAGTTGTCGAAAGTCACCTGGAGTTGTTATGAGTAGCCCACCATGACCGAGAGCCGAAAAGGTCATATCGAGAGCAAATCTGGTAAAAAATGGCTAGATCTATTCTGGCAATTTCCAACCAGATTGATGGGTCTGGCCGTTAACGGCCAGATCTAGCCTGATATGGTCGTTTTCGGCCATCAATATGGCCAGAAATGGCCACAACAGAGCCTCATGGTCATGTTGAGCTACTCACGGTGACTTTCAGAGACTTTCTGCAGTGGTTTGCAGTGGCGGCAGGGGGTGGGGGTGATTTTATCATAAATTAAAATTTTATATAAGTGGGGGTGTTTTAGCTAAATCTGAAATATTGGGGGTTAAAAGAAACTATTCAAAAATTATTAATAAAAATAATATTATATTAATATTTAAAAAGAGGGTAATTTAGTAATTTAAATAACATACCCACCAATTATTCTGTCTAACCAAACATATTAATATAACATACTCACCAACTAACCAAACACATTTTCGTAAAGATTCCCAGTAATTTTCAAGATAATATAAGATTCCAGTAATCCAACATTCCCAGTAATCCAACATTCCATTAATCAAACACCCCCTAAATGTTAATTTAAAAAGATTATCATCCACAAGAAAGAATGTGAAACTATTCTCAAAATTTCCTAGCTTGAGCAAACATATTTTAATTGATTAAGTACACTTACTGGGTTTATTTTTATTTATCTTAATCGTTTTCACTACAGTTCTTAGTAAATGTAGATAATTTGTTGAAATCAAAGCCAAAACACACAACAATGAAAGTAGATTGGTAACAAAAATAGTCAATTTACACTGGTTCATTCTCAATGAAAAAATTATATCCAGCATTTAAATAGAGTAGTTTTATTGAGTTTCAGAAATTTGTAGACTACAATAATGAAAAGTATCGGTAATTCACTCTCTTTTTCTATTTTTAATATTTTTCAAATTAAGTTTTTCAGTGTTATGCTGGAGTAATAATAAACCTAATCCCATTTAGGCTAAACTGATATTGGCCCAAATATGAACCACACCCAACAAAATTGTGGTCTTGAGCAACCAATATATGATCCATTATTGCACAGGTTTGGCATTTCTTCACGTTTTTTTCTTTTCATGTATTGGATAAATCGCAAACTTCAATGGATTTGTTGGCTTTAATTACAAAACTATGTCTCTATCTTCTTATATATATAAGTTTTGGTCGGAAGTCCTCTTCACCAAAACTTCCAATACCTTCTTTAATTATCTCTCTTACCTTTATATTATATATTAAATACCAATGCCAATTTTATAATATCTTCTCTATTATTTAAAGTGAAATGCATAATCTTTTTTCTATCTTAATTTTCAAGAACTTAAATATTAGGGAAAACAAAATAATAAGTTTTATATACATCCATATAAAAACAAAAAATAACTACTGTATTTTTTATTTTTTATTTTTATAACCAAAGAATCCAGGTCAACTTGTGCGTACTTTAACTAATCTTCGGAGACTATTGAACATCATATAAGCTTAAAGGATCATATAAACTACAATGTTATTGTGGTAAGTGGCTTCAAAGTTTGAATTCAGGAATTCAAGAAAGAGAGCAAACGTGACCACGAGACCAATCTCTTGAGGTTAACAAAAAATAACGATTATTAACTGTAAAAATTTGAAAAATACAAATAACTTTCTCCTTTCGCGGTTTAGCCTATCCATTGAAGGATGGTCAATAAATCAATAAATTTCTTCAAACAATATTATACAAAGTCCTGATCCCTTGAATATCATCTCCATGCAAACCCTTTGCCCTTCCAGGAGAGAAAGTAGGGGCCATGATAGCATCCTCAACTGAGCTATGATGGAGTCCAACAAGATGCCCAATTTCATGCAAAGCAAGAGTCTCCAAGTCAAATGCCCCAGGTGTTGCCCCCACTGACCAATTCTCGTCTGAATCATAATGGAACCTCCCATCCGTTGGGGGATATGCATGAGCAATAGTTCCACCAGGGCCATCAAAAGGGTTACCATCTCCATGATCACCACTTTCAAAACTAATCTTGATGTCAGCTCTTCTGATGTTACGAGTCCAAGAGAATGTGAAATGTGTGTTTGCAGCCCATTTTGCGAATGCTTGCCTAATGGGTCTCACGGCATCAGCTCGTGTCCTCGGAAGAAATGCATAAGTGAGATGATACTTCATTGATGGCCACTTTGGGTTTCCTTCAAAAAACGCAAAATGCGAGACTGTATGGAAATGGGTAGAGCCATGGGGGTCGACCCTTTTCTTGCCCGACCGCATTCTAGTTGTGCTATTTACGATATCTGCCATTGCGCATCGAGACATACTCAGGGGGTTAACCCTTTTCTTGCCCGACCGCATTCTAGTTGTGCCATTTACGATATCTGTCATTGCGCATCGAGACATACTCATTTTGGACACAATTTTGGTATCCAAAACTCCAGTAACGTTTAGATTGTAATTGAGCTGGTAGGTTTTGAGAGCATACTCTAATAGCTCATCAAAATCATCGTCATTAGCATGTGTTTGATTTGCGGAAATGTCATAGTTCAAGTAACCAAACTTTTCAATGTCCTTACTCCTTATATAGAGAACTCTCATAAAGTGTATTGATGAAGGTCAAAAACGATAATTAATTATTCATTTTCGAAGTTGAGCTAGCTCGTTACTCGATAGTGTAGCAGGACTAGTTTTACTTAGTCTCTGGAGACTTGAACAATTATATATATATTTGAAATATTCATGTTTGGTGATCACTGGTATATATGTTCATTTATTATAATAAAAGAGTTTGACCTAGATGCCATAACATTGAAGAATGAGGTCCAAGCAAAACTTGAAGAGTTAAGGATCTCATATTATTTGATGTGGTAGTTGATTTAGTAAGCTCTAATCAAGCTTATCATATTACTGAATAATTCATATTTTACTGCAAAATTAATTATTGCGATCGTTAAACATACCAAATAAGAATATAGTACTGCCGGTGGAAATTAACTATCTAAATTGTCAACAATTAAACTGAAAATATATTCGTGGTGATTGAGATTTAACTTGGCACAATAAAAGCATGGCCTTTAAACGTTATTTTTTATGATTGACCACCAACCAAAATAGAAATCATGCAAAAAGATTGGGAAATTATTTTTAAATGGCTTTGGCTTGACAACATATTCTTTGAAGAGTTAAATGGTCATATCATTATAAGAACAGGGAGCATAATTATCTCTTATGTGATATCAAAATATTGGAAGTAACTAAAAGGGATTAAATAAGTCTCTTTATTTGTGGACGTCTTGTGTGCATTTTAATTAATTCTTGTAGGTGATTAGCACAATATCCCACTATTATGATCACTTGTTTAAATCTTAAAAGTTAAGGGTATTCAAACCAGAGATTATACGCCTTAATCATATATCATAATACTGGTATTACCACTTGAGCTATCCAAAGGTGGTGGCAGTGTTAATTACCTTTGCAATTAATTTCTTTCTCAATTAATTTCTGGAATGTTTTCTACTAAAAACTTTTCTTACCAGCTTAATAATATACAATGTTTATTTTTGTTTATTTTCTCAGTCGTTCTCATAAGCTTTGGCTTATTATTTTCCCTATGATTCTCATAATTAGCTTCTGCCATTATAAAATTTCTTTGCTTGTACATATATATGCTTTTCCTTTACATTTATTTTGGATCAGCTTCAAGCAACCATCCTTTATGTAGAAGCAATAAATAAATTAAAACAATCGAAAATCAAATTTCTTCAAACATTATACAAAGGCTTGATGCCCTGAATATCATCCCCATGCAAAACCTTTGCCTGTCCAGGAGAGAAAGTAGGGGCCATGACAACATCCTCAACTGAGCTATGATGAAGTCCAAGAAGATGCCCAATTTCATGTAAAGCAAGAGTCTCCAAGTCATATGCCCCAGGTGTTGCCCCCACTGACCAAGTCTCTTCTGCATCATAATGAAACCTCCCATCCGTCGGGGCATATGCATGAGCAAGAGTTCCGCCGGGACCATCAAAAGGATAACCATCTCCATGATCACCACTTTCAAAACTAATCGTAATATCTGCTTTACTGATGTTCCTAGTCCAAGAGAATGTGAAATGTGTGTTTGCAGCCCATGTTGCAAAAGCTCGCCTAACAGGTTTCACGGCATCAACTCGGATCCCCGGAAGAAAGGCATACGTGAGATGATACTTCGTTGATGGCCACTTGGGGTTTCCTTCAAAAAATGAGAAATGAGATACTTTATGGAAGTGGGTAGAGCCATGGTGGTCCACCGCTTTCTTGCCGGACAGCATTCTGGTAGTACCATTGACAATATCCGCCATAGCACATCGAGACATACTCATTTTGGACACAGTTTTGGTATCCAAAACTCCAGTAACGTTTAGATGGTAATTAAGCTGATAGGTTTTGAGAGCAGATTCTAGTATCTCATCAAAATCATCGTCGTCCAAGTGCGTTTGATTTGCAGAAGTCTTATAGTTCAAGTACCCAAACTTTTCCAGATACTTCTTGAGCTCATGGACACCTTTGACTTTTTCACCTTTGTGACAACCTTGGAGATGGTTGAGGAACTCAAATGGTGAATGCTTATTGTCATGGGAATCTGAGAAAGCTGAATAAGAGAGGAGAGAAAGGAGGATAAGGAGGGAAATTGAGAAGAGGCTAGTAGCTTTTGACGCCATTGTTGAAAAATATTGATCAACCAGAGAAAAGCTCTTGTTAATTGTCTATGTTGTATCCCAGGTTTCATTGTCTTGATATATATATAGAAAGAACTATAAAGTGCATCAATGAAGTGAAAATTTCATTTTCGAAGTTGAGTAGCTCGTTGCACGGTAGTGTAGCAGGACTAGTTTTACTTAGTCTTTGGGGACTTGAACAACCTAGGAACAATTATATATATTGGAAATATTAATGTTTGGCGGCCACTGGTATATTTCTTTCTTTTTTATATTAAAAGAGTTTGACCTAGATGCCATAACATTGAAGAATGAGTCCAAGCAAAAGTTGAAGATTTAGGATCTCAATTATTTGATGTAGTAAGCTCTAATTAAGTTTATTATATTACTGAATAATTCATATTTTATTGCAAAATCAATTATCACGATCATTTAGCATACATATAATACTATCAAGTGGAAATTAATTATCTAAATTGTTCAAACAATTAAGTTAAATCGAATGAATAATACTATGTGTATAAACTTTTGATATTAGCTTATTCATACAAGTTGATGTGTTTTAATGTATTGGATAATTTTATTAGCGATAATTTAAACAAATTAGAGTTAATAATGTGCTGTGAGGTCTTATGTTCAAGAGGGGCAATTATCAGGTTTACCCAAAAAAGCAGTAAGTTTAACCATTTCTGTTATCCAATATGGTAGTGTTAGTTACATATGCAATTAATTTCCGGAATCTCTCCTATATATTAAAAGCTTTTCTCACTAGAATATCTTCCATTGAAGGCTTTTTTTTCAGCTATAAAATGAACTTGAAAATCTTGTATGTGTTTTGAATTTATTATTGATTGTCATCGCATGGTGTCATTAGGTTGTTTAGCCTTCTATTCATGGTGGTGGTTATGATATATGATGCATGGCTTGTGCTATGGCTGTGGCTGTGTCTTTTTCTTTGATTCAATCCACTGGTGATGAAAGGTGGTGAATTAGTTTTGGGTTCTCTTTGATTAGTAATGGAAAGAACTATTACTATAAGAAACTGGAAAAAGAAAAATATCCTTCGCCCTTCTTTTATTTAAATCAATCAATCCAAAATCGGATTTTCTTCAAACATTATACAAAGTCCTGATGCCTTGAATATCATCCCCATGCAAACCCTTCGTCTCTCCAAGATTAAAAGTTGGGAACATGATAGCTCCCTCAACAGAACTATGTCCAAGTCCAAGAAGATGCCCAATTTCATGCAACGCAAGAGTTTCCAAGTGAAATGCATTCGGGTTTGCATTCACAGACCAAGTCTCGTCCGCATCATAGTGAAACCTCCCATCCCTTGGGGCAAAAGCATGAGCTAGGGTTCCACCGGGGCCATCAAAAGAACTACTATCCCCATGATTGCCACTTTCAAAACTAATCGTGATATTGGCGTTTCCACTGTTCTGGGCTTCTGAGAATGAGAAATGTGTGTTCGCAGCCCATCTTGTGAACGCTCGTCCAACGGGACTAAAGGCATCAGATCTTGTCCCCGGCAGGAATGCATAGGTGAGATGATACTTGGATGATGGCCACTTAGGGTTTCCGGCAAAAAATGTAAAATGAGCGACTGTATGGAAGTGACTAGAGCCATGGCGGTCGGCCTGTTTTTTGCCAGAGCGCATTCTAGTCGTGCCATTGACGATATCCGCCATTCCGCATCGAGACATACTCATTTTCGACACGGTTTTGCTATCCAAAACCCCGGTGGCGTTTAGATGATAATTAAGCTGGTAGGTTTTGATTGCAGACTCTAATAGCTCATCAAAATCATCATCCTCCTCAGCCTCTACTTGATTTGGTTGAGTGTTATAGCTCAAGTAACCAAACTTCTCCATATATTTTCTTAGCTCATTGACGCCTTTGACCTTTTCACCTTTGTGACAACCTTGCAGAGTATTGAGAAACTCGAATGGCGATGGCTTTTTGTCATGGGAATGAGCCAAAACGACTGAAAGATAGAAGAGGGAAAGGAGGACGAAGAAGGGAAAAGCTTTAGTTGCCATTGTTAACTATTGATCAACCAGAGAAACTTGCTTGTGCTGTAACCAATATTATCATGTGTCTATTTATAGAATGGATTAAGGTTAAAATGGTGATTAATTTGGAAGTTAATTAGTTGTTCGTTACACAACAGCACATATATAAAATGACTTCTACTTTTCAAAGTCTCTGGTGGCCGACATTATTATAAACTGGTAAAGATTTGAACATCGTTATTAAGACCAATTTTTTTTACAGAAATCTTGGGGACCTGGTCGTATCATACTACAGTAAATCAAGAATAAATTCAAGACAAGTTCATGACAAACACTTCAAACATAATCATAATATACTTTGAAAGTTTTTGATAAGAATTGTCATTCTATATTTAATTAAATAACATTATATGTTTGTTTGATTTTCCATAAACAACAAAGGAGATGTCTATCATTATATTAATTATTTTAATTGACCCGAATGACAAAAATTGAAAAGTAGAAACTCCTCGCTATGTTATTTGCATGATTTGCGGAGAATATTATTTTATAGCGAATTACCATATATGAGATTGAGCATAATTCTGCAAAGAAGTAGTCCATGAAAAAACACTCAACACCATTTGATTGAATAGTTAATCCTTTTAAGAAACTCTCCACTTCAATTGGTATTTTTTCACGAAGAACAAATATGAGATAACAAATCACGTCTTTCACTAAGATTTCAAATAGCTAATAATTAGATTATGTTAATGTTTGTTGATTTGAATCTTCATTGCTGCTAATAATGAAGATAACCAATAATAATAATAATAATAATAATAATATTGGTATAATATATAATCTTTTAAAGGAAAGAAAAATTGAGAGAGAATTTGTGCCAATAATTTTATCAATCTTCGATAATGTAGAGGAGATATTTGACATCGAATGACGTCTTATTATAAAATCACTACAAGAACTTAAATCCTACCCACGATGTCCGACTCCAGGACTAGGAACAGAAGAACACTTTATACCTCCAAATCCACTAATTCCTGAAACCTTATAGTTATTATCTTCTCCAACATCAAAAATTCTGATTTTCTGATGACCTTCGGAGGTTTGTTTCCGATACCTGGACTGGGAACAGAATACTTATCACCTCCAGATATTCCTGCATCCTTGTACTTCGATTCCTCGATGACTTCCGGAGGTTTGTGTCCGATACCGAGAGTACTCAGAGCAGATTCCTTAATACTTACATAAGGTCGAGCTTCTGTCACTGAATGTGTCTCGAAATATACAGCTTGGATTATATCTGTATGCTAATTAAAATAGGAAAAAAAAAAAAAGATAAAAGATAACCAAATTATTAAATGTACAGGATTAGCTACCATACACAGACAGCAAATTAAGAAGAAATAATGATTTTGCTGCATCACTTCTCATAGTGGAGTGCAAAGTTCCATCCATATTTGGAACACATCTAGGATTAGATCATCTTAGCTGATCCACCAAGGCATCTCTCCAGACAAAAATGCTCTTATTCTTCAATGCATTTGCAATTGTTATAATTCCAAGAGGAAAACCTGCACATATATTTACTATATCAACTACAATAGATTAGAAATCTAGGTTGTGTTTGTTTTATTATTTTGAGCAGTATTTTAAAAAAAAAATTGGGTAGAGTTGTTATTACAAGAATAAGATTTAAAAATTAATAAAAATACCTCTTAAGTTTGTTAATTAGCTAAACACCCCCTAAAATAAAGCATTGAAAATTAACAAAAACACCCCCACTTACCCATTAAATGCTAGCAGCCGACAATGGATCTGGTAGGAAAATGTCAGATCAGCGCACAATCGGTCAGATCCAATCAGTTTTACGCCATTACAGCCAGTTTTGGCCACCCTCAGGCGGTGGTGGCCAGCAACCAGCATTTAATAGGTGGATGGAGGTGTTTTTTTTTAATTTTCAATATTTTATTTCTAGGTGTTTAGCTAAATTAACAAACCTATAGGGTTTAAAAATAGTTAAATAGAATATGAATGACTTTTGAGAATAATAAAACAAATATATATTTTGGGTAGGATAGGAATAGGAAAACAAACAAATGTGATTTGCCCACTATCTTCTCAAATAAAATTCTTTGCTTCTTTATAAGATAAAGTTTCAACTAAAAAATTTATAAGATAACCACATTCCCACCTTTTCTACCCGTCAGTCCATGTCTCTGTTTTGTCATTTGTTGATCACGCTGACTTAATATTTAGGAGAGTTTATTCAATTTTTTTTTTTTTTTTTTTTGGTTGGTAACCAGCGTATCCGTGTCAATGAGATCCCTTGAATACATTACAAGTCCAAAGAATCAGGTAAGTCACAATATGAGTAAATCATAATGTGATAAATAACTCCAAAGTTCAAATCCAGAAAGTCAAATAATAGAACAAACCTCCTTAGTCGTCAACCCCTTGGAGTTGAGTTTATTTAATTCAATCCTTCCATTTCTTATGAAATCGAATGAACCCTTAAAAGTATTACACAAGTTAATAGAAAGAATCACTCTTTCACCACTAAAATATAGCTGCTGCAATTCGATTATAGTACATAAATAAAATGCATCTTTGGGCTCATATGTGTCCATGAGAAATGGCTTACATTGATATCTGATCCTCTCTTTCATTCTGTTGTTTTCTTTTCTACTAATATGGATTCTATTTCTGTATTACTGAATTCAATTACCATATTTTCCTTTATTTGATGATCATTATCTTATTAAACTAGTAAACAGAGTTTGTAAAAGCATCAGGGTCTCTCCCTTGATTTCCACCAGCATAGCTTTGATGATTCTGTTTCCCCACGTGTTTCATGCTTCCACTTAAAGAGTTGTGGTTTGCTCAGTTTTTCTGGGGAATAAATTCCAGGATAGAAAGAGATTGCTGGTGAAACCTTTGCCAAAATTCTTTCTTTCACTTACTGACAAAGAATATTTCACTGCCTCATAGGTGTCTACCANATTTTCCTTTATTTGATGATCATTATCTTATTAAACTAGTAAACAGAGTTTGTAAAAGCATCAGGGTCTCTCCCTTGATTTCCACCAGCATAGCTTTGATGATTCTGTTTCCCCACGTGTTTCATGCTTCCACTTAAAGAATTGTGGTTTGCTAAATTTTTCTGGGGAATAAATTCCAGGATAGAAAGAGATTGCTGGTGGAACCTCTGCCAAAATTCTTTCTTTCACTTACTAACAAAGAATATTTCACTGCCTCATAGATGTCTACCACTAATTAGCAACATGAAAACCGAATAAATAAAATTTCGATGCCAAAAATATATCGATGCAAAAGAAAAGATCCGTGCAACAATTGCAACTGTAAATTCTCCTTGACTGATACTCAGTGTGCTCAAGAACTTGAGAAGAAGAACTAAGTAAAACATATAAACCCTTGAGCAGAAATAAAAACTACCAAATAAGCTTGTGGTACTGACTCCACTTCTCCTCCATCATAAATGATTTAAATGAAACTTTCATTAGCTTTGAACCATGTCTATATTTTGTACTGCAGTATATGGGTTAAACACTTCTGTTTTCTACAGAGCTTGTTGCATTATACTCACATATCACTCCATGTACTCCGCACCTCTAGAGGCACATATAGCTTGCTGAGCTCAAACTCACCCAGCATAGCCGCACTGAGAACAGAGATGTTCTGCACTTTCATCTTAAACCACTATTTATTGCAAGAAAATCCAATGTGTAGCTATGTAAACCTAACGAAACCATTAAAGAAACTTCAGTTTAGGGGTTAAATGCTTATACTCTCTGGTTAACCAGTTGTGCTAGTTAGACTTGTGTATTACTTTTGGACTCTTATTTGCTAGTTTAACTTTTTTATTAGGTGGTTACTTTTGATGAAAATTAGAGTTAAAACTCATTTTTTATCAGTATTTCTTTCTCTCTCTGTCTGTGTTTGGGTTACTTCACAGAACTATGGTAACATATCACACTAATCACTCCACCTACCCAGCACCTTTAAAAGCACAAATTGCTTGATTTTCTAGGTTTGCAAACCCAAAGAAATGCATGAATTGACTGTAAAACAGAAACACACCGCCAAAAAAGCCTTAACGAAAAGATAATCTCTAGAGATATTATTAACATGATCTAACCACAACTCCAACAGAGGCACAAACTCATATCACATAAGATATTAACCCAAAACACAATCATCAAGTTAGCATGTGTGGTGATGATACCCCAATAATGTATGTGTAGCCTATTAATTTCAGTGGGATCCTAGGTGAATCTAAGGCTCAATGCATGCAACTGTAAGAAGTGATGATAAATGGGAAAAACAACTAAGCAAGACATTAACGGCAGAAAATTTTTTAGGTTTCATGACGGGCTGTGGCAACAATGCCAACACCAGTAAATCCCTAGGGTGATACATCAGCATGAAAAGAGTTTACAATCATACCTAACTACTCCTAAGGAAGTTTAGTTAGAGATTAACTTGTTTGCCCTTAACTGCATTTTTGACCATTGAAAAGCAAATGGAAACAAAATAAATAAAAATAAAAAAATTCATAGAACAAATGCACATACATAAGAACAACAGTACTCTTCACCAAATGATCCCTTTAAGAAGATCACCTATGTCCCGTGACCAATCCTTTCAGCTTTCGTCCGAACAAATATAATCATATTTTCGATTATTTCTAGAAACAGAACAGCCTGATTGATGATTTTAACTAAACAATAATTAACAGCTCAATATCAGCATCAAACTGAGACATTAACAGCATAAATAAGGCACTAAGCCACCAAGCACAGTCTCAGTAAAATTAACATCACAACACAGTATTAAAGTGTAAAATTGGAAGCAAATCTACATAACAACAAACGCCTTATATCAATTTCTCCTCTCTTTTATACAAAGTTAACAATATCATAAAAGAATAGAGTTTACAATGATTAATTCATCAGACAAAACCAGCATTCGATATAATCATTTACCTCAATCATGAGAACCATGACCATTCTCAAGACCCTTGACACCTACTTCGACCTTTGGCTTTGCAATGTTCTCCTCTTCGATAATCTCGTCCTCATCAGAATCCAATGTGAAATTACTCACAATCTCCATAGGCTGCATTTCAGCTCCAAGCGGCCTATACTTCATAAAGTCACCACCACCACGAATTCCGTTCCTTTTTGCCATCATTGAATAAAACCCCACAACCAAAGCCACAAGCAATGCAAGATGGCAATTAAACTGAAGTGTAGCAATAGCTCTAGCTCTATGATAATCTGCATGACTCTTACACCTTATAGTATAATTCCCTCTACTCTTTTCATGCAAAGAGCATCCATGAGCAAGCAAATTAGTGTAAAAAGACAACCCCATTTGCAGAAACCACATTCCTTGCAAAACCAACCCAACCCCTCGACCCAATCTTGCAAAATTCGATCTTGAACTTGTTAATCTCAATTCAAGAACAGTTGAAATCACACACACTAAAATCGGTACAAGCAAGAGATCAAAATATCGATTCTCAATCCCACTAGTGTCCTTCCTTTGCAAATAATACAAAAAAAACTCCTCCACAAAAGCAAAGAGAAGAACCAAATCAAGAACTGAAGAAGGCAAAGAGAATGAACTTCTAAAATTCCTCAACAAACCAAGAACCGAATAAAGGAAAAACAAAGAAGCAATAGCAAGAACTTGTAACTGAAGGGCTGAACCAACTCTGTCCCTAAAATTCACAGCATTAAACACAGAAACCAAAGAGTTCAACACAAACAGAAATGAAAAAAAGCAAACAATGACGAAACTCAAAGAAGATGAGTAAAGGTCTCTCCTTTCTTTGTTTGTGTCAGAAAGTCGAGATTTTGACGGGTCGGAAAGCTGAGTTTCAGACGGGTCTAAAGAGGAAAGAGACTCCCATATACCGATCAGAATGAATCCACCACCGGCAGCGGTGAAGGTGAGGAGCCCCATGGCTGAGTTTTGGAGAATCTATTACTGTTAGAAAAGAGATCTTGGTTTGGAGGAGTTAGAGTTAGGTGAGAGATGGGATTTGGTGTCTGAGAATACAAGATTACGGTGATTAGAAGTCATTATGATGTTTCACTGTCGAAGAGGTTGCAGTGTTCTAGTGCATTTGACTTTTTTGTTTGTTTTGATTCACACATTGAAATTTACACGTGACTGTTTCTTTCTTTCTCTGTTCGATCTTCTTGAGCTGGCTGGCTGTTATTTATCGCTCTTTCGGAGGAGTTGGGTTCTTGGGTTAGATTGTCCCTTAAACTCCTTCCAGTAGTTTAGTAAAAACCCCCCACCTACCCAAAGTTTGGCATAATGACAGATTGATATCCAAAAGGTTTGAAAATGACAAACAAATACTTTCTATCATATTCTGTTAGGGATTTCTGTCAGTATAGTAATTTCATTCTTACCCCAAGCCCGTTTGCACGGCCCTTTTGCATCATCAATCGATTTTTTGACCAGATTTAGCATTTTTCTGCGAAGTTCAATGATAAACAGTGACACCAACCCTTGCGGGCGCGTGTTGGGAATGGAGATCGACGGGTATTCTAGTCTTTTTACCATTTTTATCTTTTAACAGATGGAAATTCCTAACAAAATATTGTAGAAAGTGGGTGTTTGTCATTTCTAAACCTTTTGAGTACCACTTTGTCTTTACAGCAAATTTTTGGTATGTGTCAACCGTCCCCTTTTAGTAAAACATAAAACTTATCAAATAAGTCATGCTTTATTTAACCTAAAACATAGGAGAATGGATAAAAACACTATTCTTTTAGGAAACATCTAGGAAGGGTGTTTGTGATCCTCTAAAATTTCATTATATAAGCTTACTTTTATATCTACGCATATTTTTATAAAATAATTGTCTATAAAGTATTTGGTTTTTTAATTCTAAAATTAAATTATATTGTAATATGATTAAAATATATTTTGATAATATTATAGTAAAAAATTGAGTTAATATAATTTATTATCTGATAAAATAATTTAATACTCTTTTAGTTATTTTAATAATAAAATGTATTTATAATCCACATTTTATTAAACGTATCAACTACTTATCTGTCATATATGAGTATATTAATAAAACACATAACTGTTTAAAATTTCAAATGTTTATAAGCTAATTTTCATAAGCTCATCCAAACAGACTCTAAGACATCAAAGTCAATGCATGACCTAAAGCTTATCCAATATCTAGCAATGACCATTCTCATAAGTGCATAAGAGTGGCAATTTGTTGAGTTGAACAAAAGTTAATTTTTATAAGCTCAGCCAAACAGACTTTAAGACATCGAAGTCAAGACATGGCCTAAAGCCTATCCAATATCTAGCAGTGACCATTCTGGTAAGTGCATAAGAGTGGCAATCTATTGAGTTAAACAAGAGCTAATTTTCATAAACTCAGTCAAATAGACTCTAAGACATCGAATTCAAGACATGGCCTAAACCCTATCCAATATCTAGCAATGACCATTCAGTAAGTGCATAAGAGTGGCAATCTGTTGAGTTGAACAAAGATTGGGAAATAAAATGATTATCTGAACATATGTGATTATGTTCTGTTTCTGTAACTTTCTTGTCCTCAAACCTAAATGATAGTTCAACAAAGTCATATTTTTCTCATTTTTCCTAATATAATATGTGCATTTTTGGAGGGCCAACAGTCCTACAAGATGGATGGTCCCTGTGAGCATGAGAGATCAAGCTTCAAGCCCATACAAAGTGGATAACTGATAAAAAAAAAAGAAGCCTCTGGCCCATAATATGGTACCCAAAATTTCAGGTTCTGCTACAACCCAATGCACCAAATCTGCTAACAAAATGTCAAAATCTCCTCTCAAGCTTCTCCTTTTCCCTATTCCTCAAATATACTACTGCAAAAAGGCCACAAAAACGTTCTTATGGTGTGCTCAACTTCACTCAATAACAACTTACCTTTAAACAATATGTTGTCTTTGGCGAAACTTATTAACTGAAGCAACCAACCGATGGCTTGCTGTACTATCTAATTATAGAAAGAATACTTTAATACACCTATGTTTTGAATCTTTAAGGGGAATTTTTTCTGCATGTTTGGCTTAATATTTTTATCCATATTCTGGATCCTATTCTCCAAATAATGTTTGGCACAGTATTCCAGAAATATTACCCTATTTTTTAATTATTTTAAACCCCACAAGGTTATTAATTTCACTAAAAACCCCCTGAAAAAAGTTTAAAAATTAACAAAAACACCCCCATCAACCCAACTTGTCAGATTCTGGCAACCACCGTCGGTGATGGCCGGAAAAGGCCACATCGGTGAACTTCCGGCCACCACGGATCTGGCCGGAAAAGGCCATAACGACGTGTTACGGCACAGATCCGACCGGTCTGTGCTGTAACGAAATTTTCCGACCAGATTCCGGCGGTGGTGGCCGGAATCTGACACTGCAGGTGGTGGGGGTGTTTTTGTCATTTTATATGTTAGGATCTTTAGTTAAATTAGTAAACCTAAGGGCTTTTTCACAAATTTTTAAAATTTACCTTGTAATACTCCCCTATTCAATAACCCAATACTATCCTCAAAATCCTATCCAAAATACTAAACCAAACGCACCCTAAGGTTTCGGGAATTATTGGATTTGGAGGTATAAAGCGTTCTTCTGTTCCTAGTCCTGGAGCCGGACATCGTGGGTAGGATTTAATTTCTTGTAGTGATTTTATAATAAGACGTCATTCGATGTCAAATATCTCCTCTACATTATCCAAGATTGATAAAATTATTGGCACAAATTCTCTCTCAATTTCTAAAATTTCCAGGCTCCTACCCGGCCATACATATAAGGTTGATATCTATTAATCTAAATCTATTAATAAAAATATATTATATAACAGAGAGTATAACTTTGACGATGGTTGTATTCCAATAATTTCATTTGGGTTCACCCATCATAACAATTAATAAAGGTTGATAAACACCACACTTTTAGTACCCAAAAACTCAATCACATGGCTGTATTCCAATCCAAGCTTAATTAGCACTACAACAAAAACGGCTTTTAACTATGAATTTTTTCGTTGCTAAAAACCTAGAAATTGTCACGGAATATGTTTAGAGACAGAAGAAAATCTTCACCACGATCGTCGCGGTAGGCATGTCACGTTTGATTTTAGGCAACGATTTGTTAAAATTCATCGCTAAATTTGGTGACAAACCAAAAAATTATCGCCTATACCATTTTCGTCGCTAAAACTATTTATCGGTGAAATATTAGTTGTTGTCGCCTAAAGTTAATAGCAAGTACTCTTTATTGTGTCGTCGATACTATACCACGATGAAATTGTGTTTATGCCGTCTAACTATACTGCGACAAAATGTGAATTTTGCTCGCCTACAAAATACTGCGATGAAATGTGTATTTTTGTTGCATAAAGTTAATAACGACGCTATAATTGTTTGCATCGCGTAAAATATACAGCGACGAAATGTGACGTTTTGTTGCCTAACATATAGCGCAATAAAAATGAGTTGTTGTCGCCTAAAGTTAATAATGACGTAATCTTTGTATGTGTTGTTTAAGGTATAGCATGATGGTACTTTATATTTCATCACTTAAAACTATTAACGATGAAACGTAAAAATCATCAACAAAACTTTTCAACGATGAATGTATTTCATAGCTAAACGTCTACAACGTCGAAATATAATCGTCATTGTCCATTTTATAATATATGATTAAATAATATTTAATTTATCTTAGACATTTTTAAATTTAATTCTAGAACGTAAATATTAATTTTTAAATTTAATTCTAGAACGTAAATATTAATTTGTAAATATAATTAATTGAAATCAAACAAACATATCAAACCAAACATAGAATTCAAATAATTAATATTAATTTCCAGCAATACCAGCACCTTAGCTTTTCCTTTCCTTTAAATGATTATATATTATACCAATATTATACCAATATTATTATTATTATTATTGGTTATCTTCATTATTAGCAGCAGTGAAGATTCAAATCGACAAATATTAACATAATCTAATTATTAGCTATTCGAAATCTTAGTCAAAGATGAGATTTGTTATCTCATATTTGTTTTTCTTGAAAAAATATCAATTGAAGTGGAGGGTTTCTTCAAAGCATTAACTATTCAATCAAATGGTGTTGAGCATTTTTTCATGGACTACTTCTTTGCAGAATTATGCTCAACCTCATTTATGGTAATTCGCTATAAAATAATTTTTCTCCGCAAATCATGCAAATAACATAGCGAGGAGTTACTACTTTTCAATTTTTGTCATTCGGGTCAATTACTCTTCTGTGTTATGAAAATAATATTGGCCTTCTAGGAATCTTCCTTCCATTATTAAAATAATTAATATAATGATAGACATCTCTTTTGTTATTTATGGAAAATCAAACAAACATATAGAATGACAATTCTTATCAAAAACTTTCAAAGTATATTATGATTATGATTATGTTTGAAGTGTTTGTCATGAACTTTTCTTGAATTTATTCTTGATTTACTGTAGTATGATACGACCAGGTCCCCAAGATTTCTGTAAAAAAAATTCGTCTTAATAACGATGTTCAAATCTTTACCAGTTTATAATAGTGTCGGCCACCAGAGACTTTGAAAAGTAGAAGTCATTTTATATATGTGTTGTTGTGTAACGAACAACATATTAACTTCCAAATTAATCACCATTTTAACCTTAATCCATTCTATAAATAGACACATGATAATATTGGTTACAGCGCAAGCAAGTTCCTCTGGTTGATCAATAGTTAACAATGGCAACTAAAGCTTTTCCCTTCTTCGTCCTCCTTTCCCTCTTCTATCTTTCAGTCGTTTTGGCTCATTCCCATGACAAAAAGCCATCGCCATTCGAGTTTCTCAATAATCTGCAAGGTTGTCACAAAGGTGAAAAGGTCAAAGGCGTCAATGAGCTAAGAAAATATATGGAGAAGTTTGGTTACTTGAGCAATAACACTCAATCAAATCAAGTAGAGGCTGAGAAGGATGATGATTTTGATGAGCTATTAGAGTCTGCAATCAAAACCTACCAGCTTAATTATCATCTAAATGCCACCGGGGTTTTGGATACCAAAACTGTGTCGAAAATGAGTATGTCTCGATGTGGAATGGCGGATATCGTCAATGGCACGACTAGAATGCGCA